GTTTACATTTAACCCCTGTTTGTTTCTCATTTTTCATCTATAAAAATGAAAAATATGACCGTTATCCATCACGTCAAGCCATCAAAATTTTGAATTCTATCTCTTGTGTGGGGCTCAATAATGGCTATATTTTTCATTCTCATTCTACAATAATGAGAATCAAACGGTGCCTTAGTCTGCCTTTCTTCTTAAATAATTGATTGACATTTCGACAGTATATTTCTCTCATGTTACTTCTGATTTTTATTGAATGTCAGTAGAAGATTAACGATAGCTCTTGCTATCATTAAAGAAGCATCATTTAACATTGTTAAGATGATTTAAACCTCTGCAAAAATTATTTTCAAATTGAGCCTTTGAAATGGTTCCTGGACTTTCAGGATGCAGTATCTTCTGTGACTGAATTTGATTGGGGGTTAACCTGTAGAGTTGGGCGAGAAGGGAGATACCTCTTAACTTTTGCTTCCCTTGATACTAAGCCCTCGTTTGATTCTCATTATTTCTAAAATACATTTTTCTCCCTCTTTTTTCCAACCACACGGTCTTCAATAAAATATTATTACACTCAAATCCAAAACTTTTCTTTATTTTTCGACTACACATTCTCCATCAAACAGGCTCTAAGTAGGACCGTGGACCCCTTGATCAGAATCATCTGATGCAATGTCAATTGGCATTTTGTACCATTGGTGCTTCATAGGAATAAAAGACAGCAAATGCAGCAGTGCCAACTAGGTTTAAACAATGTCGTTATTTGGTTTGTGTTTTCAGTTGAGGGGTGAAAATTAGTGGGAGTGACAAGAAATCAGTTTATTAGATCAAAGACAATAACCTGATTTAGTAATTGCTTGGGTATACATAAGAATACAGAAGAATTTCTTCCTCTTTGAAATGGCTTGTTACATAGAAATTGTTTTATATGAATTCATGATTTGTTGCCATTTTACAATTTAGATACTATTTTCATTCAAGTGAATATTTTTCACTTGCTTTATTTTGATCTAATATTGAAGGATTTTTGGACAGGAGCCCCGATTAGGAAGGTGGGAACGAAATCCGTCTGCCAGAAATGGAGTTGCATTGCATCCTTTGGAGCTTTCTTGAGACAGCACGACTTTGGAAAAAAGTATGAATTGCTAATGTTTCTTGATTTTGGGAAGCTATTTTTACCGCGCTCTCACCCCCCAAATGAATTTTGTCTCGATCAATTTGTGTTTAGCTCTCAATTTGTAAGAACTTGGTAAATGCAGGCAGGAGGTTGCCTTGCCTTGTGGTTCATTAGAGAGCTCCTTATTATATATATATGTTTTTTTTGTCTTTTTCAAAATTTAATAACAATTTAAGGAACAGGAGCAACTTGAATATTCTTTCAAAATTATAATTGAGGATGTTATGGTGAATTTTTTGAAATAATTGTCTTGGAAAGGCTAGATTGAAAAAAACATGTTCTGTTTTCTTTTTATTTATTATGACTTTAGGTAGCAATTATGTTCTAGACTTGTGATCATTACGAGTCTATCCGAAGGACTAGTGAGTTGATAAATGACGGTGGTTAGGATTAGGCAAAGGTTTCTTTAAGCACATTTGAAAAAGAATAATGTTATTTAACGCCAGATAGGTTCAATTAAATGAGTTATGACTTTACGTTTAAATGAATATATCATTTAATGTTACGTAATTGTTATCTAGACTAGTTTTTAACACCAATGATAATGAATAACATTACTCTTTGAATAAATCAAGAGATTCAAAGATTGCGCTTAACAAAATAAAGGTTGAAGAAGATAAATTGAAGAAATGAGCTTGATTGCAGTAATAGGGAAATCATGTTTAACAAAATGAAGGTTGGAGAAGAAGAGTTTTACGCATGTTTAGTTCGGTTTGAAACTAAGTTAAATAGGCTTTAAGTTACTTATTTTGTTAAACATGATTTTCAAAGTTATTTTCTTGAGGAAATAACTTTTAAGCATGACTAAACATGTGGCGTAACATAGAGACGATCTTCGATATTTCCAAAAAAAAAATTCGATTTTATCCCGAATGGCCAATTACTCAATCCGGTATAAAGGGTTTCTCGAGTGGAGTCGGGTTTTTATTCATCTTCAATCAGAGGCCAAGGTCTCATTGTCCTCGAAGTTTATTTGGCCATCACAACCATCCTTTATACATTCCAAAGTTTCTTACCAATCATTAGTCGATCTTTCACTGATTCAAAACGTTATATCGAAGATAAACTACAAGTGAAAATAGGGACGGGAGTGGAATAATTTATCGTTTCTTAAAATTATAAATCCCAATCTCTAATTAAAAAACTAATATAATTGAATAGGACCATTCGACTCGTAACAAAATCGTTTTAAAACGAGAATATATTTTATGAAGATAAGTAAAATCTGAGCCTTTTGTTTTGTGGAAGTGACATATTTTGCTTGGAAGGCAGCAGTGGGCCCAGGGGGTTGGTTGCAAATTGCAATCCCAAATCAATGGTTGTACCAAAATCAAATAATTACAAAAACATATTATTAAACAGCAAATGGGTCAACGAGAAGAGATGGCCCCTTAATTAAGTTGGGATCGTCACCTATAGACAAAAGAGTCATTATTTGTCCAGCTAAGGTAAGGTGGTGGGTAGATAGTTCTATCCCTTCCCCCAATCAACTTCACCACTATTGCACCTCAATGTGCGGGCATAGAATTTTCAGAGGTGACAATCAATCAAATCGAGTCGAGTCAATTTGGCTTTTAGACATTCGAGCTTTACTCAATCCTATGAATTGGCTGAGCTCGGCTCGTGTACACAAACTAGGTTCATTTTTGCCCTTCGACTTGTGCTGTCATGAGTCGAGTCAAGCCATCCACGAGTGATTCGTCTTTTTAATATAAAACAAGCCCAAAAATGAACCAATCCGTGATCTGGTTCGTGAACAAAATGGGTGTCCCAATAAAAGATCGAACCGCCCATGAACTGAGTTGAGAAAAGACGAGCTTACGAGAGATTTGGCACGGTTGCGACCCTTAGAATTTCTCATCTAAAAACATAAAATTAGAAAAAAAACCCAAAATACATAATATTAGAAAGTCTCGTCATCACCTATTTATTAAAATTATGAAATATACTAAAATTAAATTGGTGCGGTGGTTCAGGTTCTTAACGTGAGTTGGTGGGTGGGTTGTGGGGGGATATCATTATCCCAAAGAAGATATTAATGGATAATGGTGATTATCCAATTTCAATTATTGCCTTGTTTCATCAATTTTTTGCTATTAATGAAACAAAATTCAGACTGGGATTTTAGTGAAATATGAAAGCGATGTACAACCCTAAAGTTCACAGGGTCCAAGCTTTGATTACTACTTTTTATCAAACTCCATAGAGAGAGGCAACTCCACTCGTGAATGTCACTTGTACAATAATTAACACTTAACCAAAGATTTGATTGTTTGCTTTGATTGGACAATTTTACGTTGTTAAATCAAAAGTCCATCGATTTGATTATCGAGGTTGAACTTTAATATCAAAATAGTCCCTTAAGTTCTTAAAATAGATAATTGATACATTAAGATTCACGAGTAGGGTATCAAAATGTTTAGATCGTACTTCTTAGGCATGGGTCGGACTCATATGAGCCAAGTCGTGAGTTGGCCTTACAGATGGATCATGACCACTATAGGGGCTTGCAATCTTCACTTATCAAGTCTCGTGAGTCGATAATTTTTAGGGAAATAAATATAATCTATTCATTGAAAACATGTGTGTTTGAACCACATTATTTTGGAAGAATGTATTTTGAAATAGTAGATTGATAAAGAATGTGTAGTTGAAAAAGAAGGAAAAATTATTGATATCATGGAAAATATTATTTTATTGAAAAATGTGTGGTTGAAAATGAGTAGAAGAATGAAAATGAAAATTTTAATATGGCTCAAACATGGGCACAATTTCATGAACTAGTAGGCTCGGTACAAACCATAAAGACAGATGAAATGAGAAATGAAAACAAATACTAGTGCATAAATCAGCACTTATGGAAGAGTTAGTTTCAAAGGAAGCGTTGCCGTAAGTGATAACAAGAAAAATCGACTTCTTAGGTACAAAAGAAAAAACAAGTGCGCATATCGGCTACATTTAGGCGCAGGATCCGCCCAAGGTCAAAATCTAAACAATAAAATACCATTTATACCTTTATTTGTTAGAAATATAGACGATTGGCCCTTTTGGTTTTTGATTCCAATGAAGAATAAATGGTTCTTTTGACACGATATTTTGATTTTTTTAATGACCGGTTTTGATCATTTGGGGACTTAATTGTACCACATTTTATAGATTAGGGATTTAATTGCTCGTTTTTTGGAGTTGGAAACCTACAAACACACTTGAAAAAAGGTTGGGAGCTCTAAGTATAATTCTCCCTCTAAAGGGACTAACCTTTATAAAGAAACATTCCCTGAAGTGGAGGCATCGCCGTGATTATTTGGGTCGGGTCAGGTAAGGTAAATCGGGTAAGGAAGGTGGGTCCATTATCAGTGAAACTGTATTATTCCTTTCCCATTTCCTCACTCCATTCCACTGGTAGAGAGTAACAGTAAAGCAAAGCAATGCAAATCTACACACACTAACACACAGTGAACCTACAATTTCTGAGACCTTCAAGAACAAGAATAAGAACGTGAAAAGACACTGAAGTGACACTTGAGCTACTCACCATTCTTGGCCCACTTATCTCTCTATGATGTTGATACATGTATTTTCACTCTACCGCATGGAGATATATAAAAAGAGATATTTCACACGCATGAATGAAAAGAGGAAGTGTCGGCATTGAAAATGCAGGACCCACTTTTGTATAGACTAAAAAAATAAATCCCAATAGCACCTGCATGTGCTCACTACCTCCCCTGATCTCTGCAAATTCTTCAGATTGTGGAATATTAAAAGGGTTCAATAAAGAATTTTCTCTGTGTGTGTGTTTTTGTGTGTGCCTGCGTATTTCTGTGAGATTATGGAGTCAAGAACTCGTCTTGATTATGCTCTGTTTCAACTGACTCCGACGAGAACCAGGTACATTCTCTGAATCTCCATTCCCATTGCATACATATAATTTAGAATTTGAATTTGACATAAATATTCATTAATAACTTTGATGAAAAATAGGTGTGATCTTGTGATATTTGCTGGTAAAAAGAATGAGAAATTAGCGACAGGGCTACTGGATCCATTTCTTTCCCATCTTAAATCAGCTAAAGATCAAATTTCTAAAGGGGGCTATTCCATTACACTAAAACCTGCCACCACAGATGTTTCTTGGTTCACTAAAGCCACTTTAGAAAGGTACAGTAAATTTCTATTAGTTATATGCCTATCTGGGTTTTTTATTTTTGTTATTTTAATTAATTCTATATGTCTGTGGGTGTGGTTTTTCTTTTCCTGATTTTTTTATTGTATTCAGGTTTGTGAGATTTGTCAATACACCAGAAGTTCTTGAGAGATTTGTGACAATTGAGAGAGAGATCGAACAGATTGATAGTTCAATTCAATCAAATGAACAATCAGATGTGGCAATAGAGGCAGAAGGTATTCTAAATGAATAAAAACAATTATGTTTTACATTATTATCTATGTTGTTTAGAATTCATACTGGTTTTGGTCATAAGAAATGTTACTAATTACAACGGAATCTTAGAAACATAATGAATCATGTTGTAGCTAAGATTAATCCATCTACACGAGCTTCCTTAACAGCATTGTTGAATTGACAGGCAATGTCTCTGCTACTAACAAAAATTCCCAAAATTTAACTGCTTCGTCTAAGGTACGCCATCATCTGTGAAATATAGACTGGGAATTTCTCTTTATATTTTACAGCACATTCAGTTATAGATGACTAATCATGTAAATCCGAACACCAGTTAAATGTAGGGACCAATGGAATTGCTGATGCTGAACCAGAAGAAAAACCTAAGTAAATTCTTTCAGTTGTCAAATGTGTTTATGAAGTTACAATGGCTTTGTGATACATAACAATAAATATTTTTCACCCTGGCAATGGACAGGGTTCGTCTTCAGCGTGTTCTGGAAACTCGAAAGGCAATGCTCAAGAAGGAGCAAGCAATGGCTTATGCTCGTGCACTAGTGGCAGGATTTGAGATGGACTACATAGATGATCTTATATCTTTCAGTGATGCATTTGGAGCTGTGCGTTTAAGGTACAATTAATTTTACTTAGATTCAAATAAATAAAGTTTTTCTGCAAACACTACTTCAGCTGATACATAGGGATTGAGTAAAAACGTGTTTTTATTAATTCTAAAATGGATTTTGTCCCCAAATAATTCTGATTCTTTTCAGGGAAGCATGTATAAACTTCATGGTGCTCTGGAATAAAAAGAATGACGACAGGTTGTGGATGGCTGAAGTGGCAGCAATGCAGGCATGTTCCCCCTCTGAGTTTTCATTCTTGGGAACATCTGGAATTGTACTTGCTGGTGAAGATAATGACCTAAATCATAATGGCCTAACCAAGGCTTCAGCAACTGACTCAACCACTAGCCATGGAAGTTTAGACACTAACCAAGGTATTGTTGAATTACCATTTATCAATCTGCCTCCATATATTTTTCAATTCGTCTCTTTGTTTTTGAAACATATTAGAGTACAGCATTGTTGTTTTTAAAACATATTAAGGGGGTGGATCATTCCTTCTTTTTAAAGAGCGATTTTGGTTTTTCTTTCCTATTTGCTTCTAATGTGAACAGATTTTGCATCATGTCTTGAAATCCAACCGTATCATAAAATCATTTCTTTCATTTCCCATAATTTTATGTCTTGAAGATAATATGAATTCTTCAAAATGGCTCCCATGTCTTAGTGGGGGGATTTGGCATAAACCCCTTTGTGTATACTAAAAAGACATAACACATGAGTACATAAAGGAGCCACCCAAAGAGCCTAATCTTTGAGAAGCAAGCAATATTTAAAACCAATATGATTGATAATTTGTTAATTATTACAATGAGCAGATAATGGTTTGCCAGCAATGTCCAATGTGCAATCAACGGATGGAATAGCTCAAGTACCACCATGGGCAAACTATCCTCCCCAGTATATGCAAAATTTTCCACATCCACCATTTCAACAAATCCCTCCATATCATGGATATGTTTTCCCGGGCATGCAGGGTGCACCGTCATATTATCCGGGGAGTGTGCCATGGCCTTCAGGTGCCCAAGATTTCAGTCTGGGCCTTGATAGAGAACCAGAAGATAACCAGAGACACAAATCCTTTACTAAGAAAAAAGAAAAAATTAAGAATGGAATGAAACCGCACAGTACAAAAGACAATGAAAAAATGGAGATTAGTAATTCCAGCTCTGGAAGTGATTCAAATGATGAGCAGGAGCTAAGTCATTCTTCAGGTGAGAAGATGCGCAAAAAGAAGAATGGAAAACGTTCCTCGAGAAGAGTTGTTATCCGCAACATAAATTACATCACTTCTGGCAGAAACGGAGAAAGGAACAGTGCTTCGGAAAGTGATTCCTCTGACGAAGACAAATTTATTGATCCTGATTCCCTTAAACAGCAGGTGGAGGAAGCTGTTGGGTCATTGGAGAAACACCATAAGCCAAAGTCTGGCAAAGAACGAGATGGAAGGAAGAAAGCTAGCAATAGATCTAAGGATCCTACTAATTCAGATGTTGAACATGCAGTCACAACCAATTCTGATGAAAAAAGGAAAGATGGAAACTGGGATTTCTTCCAAAACCTTCTCCTGAGGGATGCAGATGAGAGATCAAATGATACGGGTCTGCATACTCCACAAGTTCACGAAGGTTATTTTATAGAGATGGCCTCTTCAGAACAAAGTGCATCCTTAAATATCAAATCAAATGGTGTGAAAAACCAAAGTGCAGCTGATGCTTTCCTTCTGACTGAAAGGAATATGGGAAATTATGTTGAAGCGAACAAGGTTAATTTTGAAGATGGAGAAAATGTACATGGAGTAATTAAGAGGGGCAGCACAAATGAAGATTTCTTAATTCCACAGAGAGTTAACGGACAGGAGAACTACCCCCAAACTGCACTATCAAATTTTGGAACTGAATCCTCCATGATTAAGAGCCAAAAAGAGGAAAAGTGGTTCATAAGCGGCCAACCAGGAATATCAACAAGTCAAGAAGAAAGGATAGATCACTCTATTATGTTTGGAAATCAAATCTCAGCCTCTGATCTCAATCATTTGGAGATGCAGAAAAATAAGAGAGATCTTATTGTGGACGACTCTTTCATGGTTCAAGATCGACTGATGAAAGGTCCATCAGAAACTCAACCAAAGACTGACATTTTCATGGTTTCGGACATTGTTGGAGCTGACCAATCCAAGCATAGAACACCTGATAATTCACAAAGCAAGATTGAAGCTGGTAATTTCTACGAACCAGATGACCTCTATATGGTGCTTGGGCGTAATTCGGCTGCTGAGCAAGTTGTAGAGTCTTGGAAACCTGAAATGGATTGTGAAAATGTGAATTCATTAGTTGAAGCTGTTAAAGGACAAGGCAACTCTGAACGAAGTGATTCTGTTGATGCAGAGCTCCTGAATGGTAAGGGAAGCAACAAGACAGCGAACAGAGCTTCTAGAGTAAAAGTGGATGGCAAAGCAACAAAGTCAAAAGCTCCAAATGGATCTTTGGGAAGGAGCAAATCTGAAATGACACCAGGAATTAAAAAATCTTATTCTGGAAGCAGAACAACGAGTCAGAAGAGCAAAACTGAGAAGGTATTATTTCCGTTTTGCTCCCACTTGATCTCTGAATCTTTTGATTCTTTCACACGAGTGGCTTTAATGGCATTGATCCAATCTGTTTGAAAATTTGAATTACATTATTGCTACAAAAAATATTTTATAGTTTGTTTTAAATTCAAGGTACTTCGTAGAATGTTTATAAAACTTTTAGTTGACCTCCTTTCTTCTACATCTAATGTCGTCCTTGTCTTCTTTTCATTTATACAGGAAGAACAGAACAAGAAGAAAATGGAAGAATTACTAACACAGCGTCAGAAGAGAATTGCCGAAAGAAGTGGTACTAAGGGTTTTACTTCAGATACTTCAAATATAACTTCTAAGGTGAGCAAGACACACAAAGTTACCACAAAAGTTGAGAAGCCTAGACTTCCAGCTCAAGCTGAAGAGAAAGATAAGTCAACTAAGCCTGTTATGAGGACTTCCACAATTGATCGCCTTGCAGCTGCTCGGACAACTGGCAAGCAGCCATCAACTGAATCGAAGGTGGGCCAAAGTGGAAAAACAACCCCCAAGGGGCGTACTCTCAAGGAAACTTCCTCGTCGAAGAAGATAGCTGGAACTCAGAACAAAAGAGCGAGTCTGGACAAGGTCACTAATTCAGATAAGAACACTGGTACGACGAATTCTAAGGGAAATACTTCTGTATCTGATTATCCGGGAAGGGATCGGATAGATACCAAATCATCCATGTCAGAGAAGTTTAATGGTGCTGAAGGTCCTCTATCTAAGGTTGAGGTTGATGAATCTAAAACTATCAAGGTGTTGCATACTGTATCTTCGACTGAGAAGAATGAGGAACATAGGGTTTCACAGAAAGATCCTTCAGATGAGAAGACCTGCATTCAAGTTTTATCTAATGAAGACTTGCTCTCTTCTGAAGGCCAATCTGCGAAAATGGAGCCCTTGACAAATACGTGTATGGTAACTGAAGCATCTCAAGTTAGAAATGGTTTGAGTACAACTGGTTTGAACATTGAAGAGGATGGTGACAAGGAACAGAAAATATCCGTTTCAACAGAAATTTCTGCTGTGGAAATCTCAACTCCACCTCCAAATGATGAAATGACTCCAGAACTAATTCATTCCAGAAAGAAGTGGAATGACAATGAAAATTTTCCTAAAGTCACCAAAGGCTTTCGAAAACTTCTTCTGTTTGGTCGTAAAAGCTGAAGCTCGTACCAATGCATCCAATATTACTGTTGTGGAGGGCTTATCCTTCTACACCAATCAAATGCTCAAATTTTAATCACGGTCACATCAGCAATATGTTTGCATGTGAGGAAGCCAAATAGCTTCAGTGCGTAATAAGGCCTTGGTTTGCTGCCAGACGGAGAATTATATTCTAATTTATTACAGTACAATCAGAGGAAGCATTAAACAAACAGGTGGTCCCCTTTTTTATGCGGTCAATAGATTTGAACCATGATCCGGTGCCCTAAAAACTTGTGTGCATCTTCTCTGTTTTCCCTCCTCTTTTTGTTGGTTTGCATTGTATTTGTTTGTTGCTTAATGGTTTACTTCGTATTTATCACAGAATGTGAATTTTTTTTTCGTTTCAATGTAACTCTTGCCTCCAAATTCTTTGTCGGTAGATTACATCTTTAGCATACTTTCACTAGTTTCATACTATAGTATCTCTTTTGGTTTCATCTTTTGAAATCTGGTAGGAAAATCCTTGAAAACAGTAATAACAAAATAGCATGTGCATTCATAAGATATGCTAAAAGACAAAAAGCGGATAGGTAGAAAAATAAGATATGCTATACATTCTATACTGCATTTTGGAAAAATTACAGCAAAGAATCAAGTTATCAACATCAGATGTAACAGCTAGAGAAAAAAAGACTAGAGAAATGCTGTCTTGGAACTAGTCAACAATGTAAGCTCATCAAGCTTTCCAGTTTCTACTAACTCATCCAATCGAAAAGTCCTCGATTATCTGAATTTTTCTGACTGCACTTTTTCTTGAGATTTGTGAAGTTCGTTACCAATTCGTCATAGTCAGGAAGCTTTGGATGGACATAGCTCGAGTCAAATCTGGAATTTTTTTGTCCATCCTCGTGAAAATTTTGGGCTTGTCTACAAGAACAATGTGAAGTAAGCGATATGTCTTCTGTAATATTCTTCTTGGTGTAACGCTTGGAGCTTAAATTTGCAACCCAAGTGTTAGAAGAATAAAGCTTGTGCCCACCATTATAATCTCTCCTGGGTATGGTGTTTGTATCTTGTTTAACTTGTGTACCATTTGGTATATGAACTGACAAGGAACCTTCAGGATTTTTCTGACTGTTGATTTTATTAGTTTCCATGAAGGTAACAGGACCTTCTGTGCTGTCTGCACTGTTGGAAAAACCCCTCCAAAATGTTCCCAAATTTTTTAAATTTGCCAAAAGAAATTTTGATATTGAGGCCTGCATTCGACTGTTGAAACTACTATTATCATCGGCATCCAAACCCTTAAATTCATCGGTCATTGTACACTTGCCGGACTTAGTTGACAGGTTGCCTTGGAGCTACAGAAATCGGTGTAGAAAGTATAATGTAAATAATGTTCAAGAATCATAGATATCAAGCAATTGTGAGGTAAATTAATCAGACTCACCTTCTGGAGTTCCGGGAAGAGGTAATTTTGCTGATTTAGGGCCCCCAACTGAGGTGTGAATTCTATTGCTATTTCATTTGTTAATTTCAGCTTTACTTCTTCTGTTACTGATGATATTGTAAGATTGTGCTTTATATCTGAGTTTACGAAATTCCCAGGTAGCAATTCTACATTAGCTCTTTCAAACTTGTGACCAAAATGCTGTTTGAATAAGATTCTTATGGAATGAAGTTCAGGCAGTTCTCCACATCTGGAGGAAGCAAATATCAAAGTTGACAGTGCTTCATGAACCTCAACAGACAGCTTCCTGCAGTGACAAAGCTTTAAAAGGTTGCGGCCAATGAGAATCCAAAATGAGAAAACTTTTGCAATTTACCTGCCCTGGCTAATGTCACGAAGGTTAGTGCAAATGCATTCACAAAAATACTCGAGTTGATTGTATGCATATAACCTGCAGTAGTCTCTGTAGAGTTGTTCGACCTAGATATAGAAAATTATACACATTATTAGCAAAAGCATGATTTTCCAGCAACAGATGTAAACAAACTTCTTTTGGTGATATATATTTCCTTAAAACTGATGTCCCTGCAAATCACAGTTTGATCTTTGATGAAACCGAAGCTGGGATGAAAATTTTGGAAGTGTAATCTTACTGATGTAAAACTTGTGAAAAGAAAGAAAAATTTACCCGTGTTGAAACAACATGATGCCAGCCATTCTGCATAAGTTGAGCGATATCAGCACGTGATTGCCTTATGATGGCATTTCTTCTGCTTTTCTGGAGCGTTAGACGACTCCTAAGATGCTTAATCAATCTTTTGCTGCAAAATTATGTGGGAGGGGCATGAAAAAAGGTAAAAGAAAATGTATTCTAATACTCATCGAATGAGAAAAAGTATACTTTCATTCGAGTTTAAAAGACTTGAAAAGTGTTCAAATACTACGAATAATGATATTCTTCTTTGACATTGTTCACTGCTCCCAAATTTACCTTCCTAAGCATTTATTCCCTTTAGTATTCTTCAACTAAAGTCTACTAAGAAACGAGAAAATGAAAACGAACAAGACCAACCATTTTTTGCACTAGAATTCAACAAAAAAAGGGAGGGGAAGTACCATTTGGTAGCCTTTGCCCATCTTTTCCCTTTGAACAATCCAAGAATATTGTCAAAAACATCCCAACCCATTTTTACTTGTGAAATGTTTCAAGAAGAAACCCAGAGTGTGAAAAAAAAAGGGGTTTCTTACAAGTTTTGCAATCCTTAAGTGAATTGACATGATAAGAATTGCCTGCTTAAGTAAGGAGAAATTGTATCATTATATTCCTTTTTTGCTTCCATGTTGCCATTTTGATGCCCATTTTAGTCAAAGAAAGAGTGGTAATAAATAAAACATTGGTGTCAAGAGACACGTATTCTGTACATGGAAAATGTAAATGAAATATATACATGAAATCATGGCCCTAAATCTTTCCAAATTTGAA